GGCCAAAAAGCAGCAGTGCAGAGAGCCCTGGCCCCAGGCAGCAGGCTCTATTAGCAGCGTTCCCAGCATTCTGCTCTGGGACACAGGAGGCTAAAGGAGGAAAAAAGGCAAATAAATCTATGGGCTCCAGACATCTACACGTGAAGTATAAGGAGGGCTGCAGGAAGATGTGCAAATGACCAAGAAGCACAGAACGAGATGCCTGATGTCAGCAGCCGTCACAGAGCTTAAATGAAAACCCCAAGATACCACGTGACACCCATTAGGATGGCTGAAGTGGAAGTCAGGTTAAGTGCTGGCGAGGAGGTGGGAACACCGAGGCTTCACACTCTGCTGGTGGGGATGTCAGCACAGCCCTGGGAAGGCCAGTGCCGGGGTTCCCTGCATCAAGTTAACAGTTACCACATGACCCAGCAGTGCGAATGTGTATATAAAAACTCATAGCAGCCTTTTTTTTTTTTTTTAAAGAGAGGGAGAGGGGGCACCTGGGGACTCAGGTGGTTAAGCATCTGCCTTTAGCTCAGGTCGTAATTTCAGGGTCTTGGGACCGAGCCCCACCTTGGACCTCCTGCTCATCGGGGCGTCTGCTGCTCCCTCTCCCTCTGTCCTGCTCATGCTCTCTCTCTGAAATAAATAAAATCTTTTTGAAAAGAGAGAGAGGGAGAGCAGCCCTGGTGGCTCAGCGGTTTAGCACCTGCCTTCAGCCCGGGATGTGATCCTTGAGACCCTGGATCGAGTCCCATGTCGGGCTCCCTGCATGGAGCCTGCTTCTCCCTCTGCCTGTGTCTCTGCCTCTCTCTGTGTGTGTCTCTCTCATGAATAAATAAATAAAATTTTAAAAAGAGAGAGGGAGAGAGAAAGAGACTCTTAAGCAGACTCCACACCCAGTATGGAGCCCAACATGGAGCTCAATCTCACGAGTAGAAATCAAGAGTCAGACATTTAACCAACTGAGACACCCAGGCACCCCTGCAGCGTTATTCTCAATAGTCAGAACATGGAAATGACCATCAAGTGATGGCTGGACACATAATGTGCATCCAAATGGAATGTTACTCAGCCCCCAAAAGGAAGAAAGCAACGATTCCCAACATGGGTGAGCCTTGAAAACCTTCTGCTCAGAGAAAGAGTCACAGCAGTCAAACACCAGATGATTCCACTCATATGAAAGCCCAGAGGAGAGAAAACTCTAGGGAAATGGAAAGTGGTGGTTACTTAGGGCCAGCAGGGGAGGTGATGATAGTTCCAGATTTCAGGGTTTTTTTGGGGGGGTGACGAAAATGTCCTGAAACGGACTGCATGGATCCTGAATCCACTAAAACCCCTCAGACTGTACACTTTAAGTGTGCAAATGGTATGGTACCTCAATAAGCCTGTTTTCAAGCTAAGGAGTGGAACATGCAGGCTGGAGTACTATAGAGTGATTCTAAAAGCTGTTTCCTTTCGGGTAAAACCAACATGCAGAGAGAGTGCGCACTCTCTGCCTGCATCCCCGAGGTGAGGACAGAGCGCCTCCCTAGATCCATGTGGCCAGTGGCTGGCCAGGACCTGATGGGTGAGCAGGAATTGCCCTGCGTGGGCCATGGGTGCTGGCCTGTCACCCCCAAGAGAACCTAGTGCCCCCGGAATGAGGATGGGGCACTGTGGGGCTCTGAGGACCATAGTGTCCTCACTTCTCAGAATTCATCCTGCCTCGGCCATTCTCCCTCCTCAGGAGGCCTCTCTCCTTCCAGGGAAATCTGACCTTATCACCCTTACCTTGCCTGCAGGATCAGGTCCAAGCTCCATGGCCTGGCCAGAAGAAGCCATCTCTCCCCAACCTGTTCATCCTGTGGTTCCCCAGTCCGGAGGAACCCTCACACACACCCGACAGGCAGTGCCATCTGCCTCATGACCCTTCCTCGTGTCCTGTTTCCCACCCCCACCCCCACCCCCAGCCCTTCACTTCCTCCTCTGGCCCAACAGGGCACCCTGAATGAAGCCAGCACCCACCATGTTCTTTTCCTTCACCATCTACGGGCACAATTGCTACACAACAGGCACCACGTGCAACAATGGGATCTCCGGTGAGCCTGACACGGATGCAACCCCTGCCCTAACGTGCAGCTAACCCCTGCATGAACATACAGACAGGACCAACTGCTTGAGCATTATGCATTTCCCAATGGAGGGAACGAAACGCAGAAAGGTAGGAGGGCCTAGCGTAGCGGTTGTGTCCTTAGTGAGATGGTCAGGGAAGCCTCCCTGAGGGAGGGGCACCTGAGCTGACAGCTGGGGGTGAAGAAGGAATCCCAAGCACAAGGACAGCCTGGGCAAAGGCCCTGAGGCGGGCAAGAGCACAGAGCCTGAGGCACAGGGGTGGGGTGGGGGGGCGAGGTGAGGATGTGGGTGGAGAAGATGGCCAGATCGTGCAGGCTTTCTTTCTGTAGGTCTCGTCTCATGGGCCTCGCGCAAGACTGAACGAAGTCTTTGTTACCACTGCAAACAGGAGGCACAGGACGGTGTAACACCAGGACACGCAGTGATCAGGTGGGCACCAGCCCTAACTCATCACTCTAGGGGCTGTGAGGGTGGTCCTTATTTACCCATGGGCCTCCCCTCTGGGCTAGGTCCTCCCTAGTGTTTGCAGAACACTTAGCAATCCTCTAGCTGGTCCAGGCAGGGAAATAGGTATCAGTTTAGACGCAAACCTCCTTCCTCCATGCTCATTCAGGGAAAGCCCCAGGAAGATCCACCTTCAGCTCCACGTGCCCCACAGAACACCATCACTGTAACCCTTCTGGGCAATTCTGAGGCTGGAAGAGGTGGCAGGAGGACTGCCCCAGCCCTGCTAACTGTGCCCTGAGGGCGCCACAGTGAGAAGGTTCTCTTTGCTCCCTGGGGAAACAGCTCAAGAGAGGCCAGGACACCCCCAAGCACAAGGATGGAGACCCTCCCACCACCCCGGCCACACTTGCCCCATGGGCAGGACCCCCAAGGTCTGCTCAGTGATAGATGGATCTCAGGCAGAGCCATGGCGGCACCAGGCTGCTGGCTCCCCGTGAACTCTGGACAGAAAAACAACTGAATCATCCTGATGATTCTCCAAGCAAAGTTCTCTTGGGGCCAATATTAAAAAAGGCTTGGGGGGAGTAGTTTCTCAGGCAACCAGCTTTAGTGATGTGCAAGGAACCCCAGGCCTACACCCCCACCTTTCCTCAAAGGCAGCCAGGAAAGAAAGCATAACCTGTGAGCTCAGAATTCCTTTCTATCCCAGGAGCAGGATGCTCGAGGGCTGGGGGGACACCTCAGAGACTCCTCTTCCTCAACTCACTTCTCCTGGGCCCTGAACGTGGCATCCAGAGAAGGCCCCTCATGACAAGCCCCTTCTGGGGAAAACCATCTCACTCTGCATTCTTATTCACTACAAACTGCAGAAACAAACCCGAGCCCTGGGCTCTGCCTCCCTGCTGCTGAGCTGGGGTCCCTACCTACTCGAGCCAATGTCTCCTCCTCAAGGTCTTGCATAAATATTAATACAAGAATCAGAAAACCAGGGGCGGGACCAAGGCTAGGTGCCAGTTTATCTGGTCTGGCTCACACCCTACAGCAGTGTGGGTAACTCGGTCAGCAGACGGGGACCCTGTGGCAGGAGGAAGGCCCGAGTGTAGCCGCACAGGCCTCTCCCTGGGCTTCAGGGCCCTGAAGCTTCTTTCCAGTGGCCCTCGGCCACTGTCTCTTCCTTTCCTGGGGCCTCTGGAAAGCTCAGCCTGTCACCCTTTTCCCCAAAGGATTGCTTTCTTCACAAAGAAGGAAATGTCCTGGCCTTATCAGATATCTGGCTTCAGGCTCCAGCACAGAGTGCAGTGAACATTTATCCCCAAAATACCCAGGCTGGAAGGTTCCACCGAGGTCACCGAGGGTGGCCAAGTGTGTGCACCCTGTCTGGGACAGACTCCGGGGACTCAGGCAACACTTCCCTGGGAAATGCACCAAGAGGCTAAAACCCGAGAGCCACCGGTCCCCACTTCCCACTGATGTGCTCTTTCCCTGTAACCTTCTCTTCTCCCAAGGCCGGCGCACGGGGACAGGGTCCTCTGTCACAAGGGATGGGTGTCCCCCCAGGGGGCGGGTGGTCCTGAACTCCCAAGGCCTGGGGCTGGCTGGGGATGACAGCCCTTTACCCAGAAGAGCAGTAACACAGTGACAGTGGTGCTGAAGACCCTGCTACAGGAGCAGAGGTGCACATGCAGCAGACATTAGGCACTTTTATGCTCCTGGGCCTTTACTTCTCGCAGTGACCTGGCTATCCTAAGGTGAGGAACAATTAGCTGAAAAGCATGCTCAAGCAGCCCTCCCACCAGGGAGGCCCTCCACGTTGCTGCATTTTCACTGACAACATGACTTTGTTTTCTACGCCCCCTCAAGCTGTTCTCCTGAGGAATGAATCACGTACTTGTCCACACCAGAGAAAACATAGGGCAGGTCAGTGGGGGTGCAGAGGCAGCACCTCCCAAGGTGGGGGGCGGTCGCTGTGAGGTTGAGACCTGGGTGGAGGTGGAGGGACAGGGAGGAGGCAGCAGCCAAGAGGACTGCCCATGCTCAGAAACAGGCACACAGGGGTCAGAGCAGTGAGCAGAGAGGGGTTTCTCCACCAGGGCTGGCTTCGGGGAGCTGGGAAGGCTGCTCTACCCCCACCGCCTCTGGGGTCCCTTCTCAACACACAGTAGGAGGCTTCCAACACGTGGGCAACTCAGAGGCGGCGACCGTGACCGGGCATGCCGCGGGTCACGTGCCATGAGGACGCGGTGATGCTCTCGTCAGTGGAGCACGTCTGTATAGGTAGAGAGTGGACGGGGTACCAACCATGCGCTGGTCAATCCCATGTTACCAAGGAGACTGAGGCCCTTGCAGGGCAGCTGCACAACCATTCCCTGGGGGTACACAGCGAGATAGCTGCTCCAGCTGTAGACATGCCCAGAGCCGCTCTCGGGCCTCGCCTCCTCACCCTCCTCGCTCACCTGGAACCTGTGCACCAGCTCCAGGGACTGGCTGTCATTCTGGTCGGCTTCGAGGATGACATCAGTGAGCTTGTGGATGATGACATCCAGGGGGCCCTGCTCCTCAATAGGCCGGCTAAGGTTCAGCTGTCAGGGCAGGGGGAGGACATGGAGAAAAACATCAGCATCAGCACCTGAGCCCATGGCCCCGCTGCCCACCCCCCACCTCATCCCTGTACGTCCCTGCAGCACCGGGACAGGGGGCAGGAGAGGGGCTGGCACTCATGGAAAATGCAGACAGGGACAAAGGCACAAAGCCACTGGGCCTCTAGAAGTCCTCGGCAGGCCCCACATCTGTGTTTCTGTCCCCAGGTCCCATGCTGCCAGGTGCAGAAGGTACACACATGGGAATCAGGGCTCATCACAGCCACAGCGAGGGAGTGTGCAACTGCCCGGGCCCCATGGGCGTGGCTGGCCCTGCTCCATGGGGGGCTGTGTTTATTTTTTCAAGAACAAGGGGTTGGGAAGATCACGTCCCAAGGGAGCCAGAGCCACCCAGCTGACAGACAGTCGCCACCACCTGACCCCAAGACAGGAGCACCTGCCAACAGCTGGGGCGGCCTAACACCATGCTTCCTGACCCACCAGATGTCTGTCGCCTGGCACCCAGCCACCACCACCTGTAAGTCCAGTTCCCTGGAGTCAGCAGTGCCAGCCTGGCACCTGGCTGACCCCGAGGACCTCGGCAGAAGCTGGAAAAAGCCACCAGCCTACCCCCATCCCCACCCCCACACAAGTGGGGCTCCCTCCAGGGTGCCAGGCTGTTTCAAAAGCTCCTAGCAAAGAAGTCATACGACAGCTCTGGTTGTTCACTCCAGGCAGGCATCAGGCTAGGTTCTTATTCTCTAACCACCTGATGAGAAAGTGATTTTACAAATGAGGAAAGTGGGGACCCCCTTGGGTCTGACAGTGATGAGGTGGTGGTGCTCAGATGCAGATCTGAGGCTCTGCTTGTAGTTCAGTGCCTGCCCCCATCACCAAAGCCCACTCAGCCCTGGGAGGTGGAGCTCTAGTGCCACAACCACCTGGCTGCCCTGTCCTGGCTTCTGGCCGAGGGGCCCACGGAAGCACAAGAGAAGATGGGCGAGAGAAGACCAGGGTCTGTTCCCACCATCCTCACATTCCCTATCAAGCATGCAACCCTTCTCCCAAGGCTTCCCTGTCCCCAGGGCTCCCAGTACCACCCACCTCCCCTTGTCCCCTCGGCCAGGGGTGGTGACAGCTTGCCACTCTGAGCTTCACCACATCCTGGCAGCTGCCCCAACCCAGCCCACAACCTGTCATCCTCTCTTATTTAAACTCTTCTAAAGGTCAAACCTTCAGAAAGAACCAGCTCTTTCCTGGTGGTATTCTTAACTCTTCCCCTATTTTTGTTGCCTGCTAGAAAAGATGTTAAGGGATTTCCCTTATTAAGAAAAAAAAAAAAAGTCCCATGGACCTCACAATAATACTGTCACCCAATGGTGACTAGCTTACATACAAACTAGAACAAAAGTCAGACTGGCTAAGAAGCTGACCCCTCTAGGGCTCCTGGGTGGGAAGGGAAGCAGCACTTGCTGGTCTCACAGCAAGCCCACTGTCACAGACCAGGACACCAAGAGCCCAGGGAGGAAAAGTTATCGGGCAAAGCCTTGTGGCTGGGAAGCGGCCCAGTAGGGGCTTGGAGGGAGGCCCCACAGCTGAGGTGCCAAGTGTTCTGGGCCTGCACACAAGCCTGGCTTGTCATCCCCCTGAGCCTCAGTTTCCCCTTTGATAAACACAGGGACTTGCATGGACCCTCCTGATCCTGTCTGTGGATTCAGTATTACATTTCCATCCAGACCCAATTCCCAGGAAAACAAAGCGAAACAAATGGAATTTGAAGGAAGGGAGTGAAGCCAGTGGAAAGTGGTCACATGGGCAAAGGAACAAATTCTCAAAAGAGGCCACAGACACAAACCCATATTTGCCCTAACCTGTGGCTCCACTGTAATAGGCACCACAAACAACAGGCCAAAATTTTCAGACCAAGGCAGTTGGAAACGGCAGAGAAGTGGGTCACACAGTGCAACTTCAACCCCAGCAGCACACCCGTCTCTAGACAGAAGCTCCCAGCTCTCCTGTGGGCCAGGAGGGGACAGAAATGTGTCCTGGGAGCTTGGGAAAGGAGGTGGGCATAGGAGATGCCCCTAGCTCATCCCAGCCTGGCACCCGCCTGCGCCCTGCAGACCTGATGTGCACCAGCTGTTTGGGAAAATAAGCTCTCCACATTCCCAGCCGCTCCACGAAGGTAAACAGTTGAGTTCTGGAAGGCTGCCACCTCTTTTTGTATATTTTCCAAGCATTTTTATGCCAATAAAACCCTTTCACAAGAACAGCCACTTGGAACACACATTAGGCCTGGTCTGGTCCTGGATTAGCCATCTCTCTGTGCAGCATCTTTACTGAGGCCTGACTGGAGTTACCACTGGTTCCAGAAAGTTCTCCAGCGTGGCTTCTCCTCAAGTGGCCAGATAAGTCACATGCGCCCTGAATAGTCCACCGTCCTTCGAAGATCTCAAGGAGCCCACTGCGGACAGGAGCTCAGGCAGGGCCTAGGTATTCCTGCAGAGGAGGGGACCCTGGTGGGCCGGCTGTACCTCCCAGATAGGGTGGGGAAGGGAACTCATTTCCATTGGCACTCATTTCCACTGCCACACTCAGCCTCCAGAGAAGGGAACTTTCTCAGGGACTTGCTCTGTTCTGCAGGAGGGGTCTGATCTGTCCCTCAGCAGGAACAAGGATGTCTCAATGAAAGGGCCACCCACTGTGGCCGGAGGAGATCTGTGGGTGCCATGCTTCCAAGTCATGCCACCCTGTGAGGCCAAGGCTGGATGGTGTTCTGTGCAGCGCTCAGAGCTCAGGACTCAAAGGAAACAAGGGCCCAGTGTTTCCCTCAGCAACTATGATGGGAGGCTGGCTGGAGGGGGGTAGGGGGGCAGAAGGAGTGGAACAAAGGCCTGCAAACCCCAGTGGCTGGAATGTCACCTCTGACTTCCATAGCAAGCGACCCAATCGTGCCTGGCCCAGTATTCAAAGTGACCTAGGCTCTGAATATCTCCTTGACCCCCACCGACCTCGTCAGGAGAGGAAGATGGGCATGGCAGACGCCTGGAAACCCCATCACAGCTGGAAACTGCTCTGTGCCTCACTTTCCCATCCATAAAATGAGGATGTCACTATTCCCAACACCTTACTGGGCTGTTTCGGTGGATTACAACATCACATTTATGGATGTGGCACAGGGTTGCTCTACAGCAGATGCCGCCCTGAGTGCTTAGATAACATCCCACCACTGCTTGCTCACTCATTCACTCAACGAGCATTCTCTGGGCACCTCTGGGTGCCTGGCACACATGGCCCCTGCACTCCCTTCTCAGGACTCTGGGCCAGTGATGTGAATGTCCCGGGGCCCTGCAGAAGCAGAGCCAAGTGCCACGGCCACACACCGCTCCAGTCCTGCCTGGGGCACAAGCTCCTGTGCTTGAGCCACCTGTCTGCCTAGAATGTCCCCCTGCCCACAAGCCCTCATCCACACAGTGAGCTCTCACTCACTTCTCAAGTCCCAGCTCCAAAGTTCAATGCTTTTCCAGACTTCTCAACTCACTGCACCCCAAACAGGAAGATTTAATGGTTCCCTGGTCTCACCCAAAGTCCTGGGACCCTTTGCACATCCTGCCGGGGTTGCAATTTAACTTCCAAATATCAAGTCATTTCTTTAACATATTCTTCCAGCAGATCCCGAGATCCCCCACCAACCAGGGCTGAGACTGCATCCCGAGGACCTAGAACATGTTCCTGGCTTGAGATAAGAAGAGTTTGCTAAATTCAACTGAGTGTTTTGAAGAACAAAGTAAACAATGCAGACCAACTAGAAGGGACATTCCAGGAAGCTGGGTGATTCCTTCCTATTGGGGGGTTAGAAACAGCCTCCTGGAGAAGAAGGGAGAGGGAAAAATGGGGGAAGAAAGGTGGAATGTAATGCATGTGGCAGGGGCAGCTGCAGAAACCATCCGCATTCAGTTCTCAACTTGCACTGCTCGTTGCCAATGCGTCGGGGGCTACAGGTGACCACCTCTGCACAAAGGTCTTGTCCTGTGGCACTGACCCCTGACTGGCACCCTGATATAGCCACCACGGAGAGAGCATGTATGCAGTGGAGGGCACCCCAACAGAGGGTGCTAGCTTTTCCTTCTCTCCCAAACTTCCACATGTGCTTCCCTGACAGGATCAAGAAGCAGCCAGATATGGAAACAAAAAAAAAAAGTAAGACCATCTCTGGGGCTCATCAGGGAGGCAAGGGACCTGGGAAAATGGCTCCCACACCATGTTAAGGCTGCTCATCCTCCCTGGATGCGAGATGCAAGGTATTTGGTGCCTGCGGAAGTCTGGGCTGCTGTAAACAACCTACACCTCTCTGAACGGCCAGACAGGCTGCAAATGGAGGCCGTGCAGGAGTCAGAGGCTGAAGACCACCCTCCTGTGGCTAGGGTCAGGTCTCAGACACTTGCCCTGAGCCAGGCCCTGTTCTTTTCTTTTTAAGATTTATTTATTTATTTTAGAGAGAAGGAGAGAGTGCACGCAAGGCAGGAGTGGTAGAGGGTGAGGGATGGAGAGGATCTCAAGCAGACTCTCTAGTAAGTGTAGAGCCCGACCAGGCCCTATTCTAGGCACTCTACGCACATGACCTGATACAGTTCTTGCAACAGCCTGCGATCAGGACCCTTGATAGGCATGGAGGCTAAATAACACATTGAGGTCTCACAGCTCATGCTGACTCCTAACTGTTCCCAGCCAACAGCAAGATTATGCAACCTCCCCCTGGGACTTCCTGGCTACTGGCACAGTCTTTTGTTCTAATGAGGCACAGCTTGGTGGGCTTCCAGATGGAAGCTGGTCACCAGAAAGATCAAGCCACAATTGGAAGTTTGGCATTTTCAGCCCCATCTCCTGTCCTCCAGCAAGGGGAGAAGGCCTGGAAACGGAGTTAATGATGGATTGTGCCAACACAATGAAGACTCATAAAAATCCCAAAGGTGCAGGACTTGGACCACTTACAGGCTGGTGAA